CATGTGTTTCCCATAACCACACCAATCTACCACAGCCAATTGATTAAGTGTTGAGAAAGGAATCCTACCAAAGCAAGCTAAAAAAAACAAAACAAAACTATTACCTTTCTGTCTAATTTTATTTTGGGATGAGGCCATGCTTTCTAAATATCTGTTGATGCTTATTTATAAATTTCCATCCTTCTTCATTAATAATGCTTGTTCATTTCTTTCACATTGAAACGTATTGAAAGGATAGTAACTATTTACTATTTCCAAATGCACACTATTTTTTAAAAATCTTTATTGTTGAATGTAGAATGTATTACAGATGTTCCTCATTTTTCCCCCATTGACCCCCTCCCCCCTCCCGCCCCCCTCCCGCCTTTTCCCACACTATTGTCTGTGTCCATTGGTTATGCATATAAGTTCCTTGGTTTATTTCTTTCCACCCCCCAACCCCTTTCCCTTTGAGGTTTGTCAATCTAGCAATGAATTTGTACTTCTTAATCCCTTCACCTTTTTCACCCATTCCCCCAAACCCCCTTTCATCTGGCAACCAACAAAATGTTCTCTGTATCTATGAGAATGTTTCTGTTCTACCTGTTCATTTTGTTGGTAGATTCCATTGTTGATAGATATGTATTCATTGTCATTTTGTTTGTTCATATATTTTATCTTTTTCTTCAAAAAGACCCTTCATCATTTCATATAATAACGGTTTGGTAGTGATGAACTCCTTTAACTTTTTCTTGTCTGGAAAGTTTTTATATGTCCATCGATTCTAAATGACAGCTTTGCAGGATAGAGTAATTTTGGTTGTAGGTTCTTGGTTTTCATCACTCTGAATATTTCTTGCCACTCCTTTCTGGCCTGCAAAGTTTCTTTTGAGAAATCAGCTGACAGCCTTATGGGAACTCCCTTGTAGGTAACTAGCTGCCTTTTTCTTGCTGCTTTTAAGATTGTCTCTTTGTCTTGAACCTTTTGCATTTTGATGATGATGTGTTTTAGTGGGGGGCCTCTTGGGGTTCATCTTGTTTGGGACTCTCTGTGCTTCCTGGACTTGTATGTCTGTTTCCTTCACCAAGTTAGGAAAGTTTTCTGCCATTATTGTTTCTAACATGTTTTCAATTTCTCGTTCTCACTCTTCTCCTTCTGGCACCACCAAGATGCGAATGTTGGCATGCTTGAAGTTGTCCCAGAGGCTCCTTACACTATCCTCATTTTTTTGGATTCTTTTTTTTTTTTTTTGCTGTTTTGATTGGGCATTTTTTGCTTCATTACATTCCAAATCAATGGTTTGCTTCTTGGATTTACGTACTTTACTATTGAATCTGTGTAAATTATTCTTTATTTCAGTTAATGTCTCCTTCATTTCTGACTGTGCATCCATCATTTCTGACTGGTCCTTTTTTATGCTCTTGAGGCCCTCCCTAAGTTCACTGAGGTTCTCACTAAGTTTATTGAGCATCCTTATAAGCAATATTTTGAACTCAGCCTCTGTTAGGTTGCTTATCTCCATTTTGCTTAGTTCTTTTCTTGGGGTTTTGTTCTGTTCATTCATTTGTGACCTGTTTCTTTGTCTCCTCATTTTGGCTGCCTCCCTGTGTTTGTTTCTGTGTATTACTTAATGAGCCATATGGGGGCTAGCTGAGACCAGATGCTGCTTGTTTGAAAGAATTTAGGAAAAACCTGAAGCAGGATCAAAGACAGGCCAATGCTATGGTTAAGCAAGTGGTCACAGATTGGGTGGGCCTGAAAGTTGGGTGGGGCAGGGCCTCAGGGAATCACCAGGGTGGGGCTACCAGTGTGAACCAGGTTGCTGGAGTCCCAGATATGGCGACTGTCTGCCGCCCTAGGAAAGGGCTCATGGAAGGAACAAAGCCTCTGACAACAAGTTTGTCCCGGAGAAAGCCCCCTCTCCAGCCCTCACTCCAGTGCCAAACAGCTCAGTTCTTCCATGTATGTCTCTGGTACCCCTCAAGCTGCCTCCCTTCCAAGCTTAGAGGGATTGAGTCTGGTAAGTCTGTTCGCGGGCCCTTTAAGGAGCTGCCTGGGGTTCCAGCTGTGTCAGCTTCCCTGAGCCTCAGCTCCTGCTTGTTTTTCCAGCCAGAAGTTGTGAAGACTTCTCTTCCTGGCACTGGAACCCTGAGTGGGGCACCTGGTGTGGGATGGAGACCCCTCAGTCCTCAGGGAGAACTTTCCCAGCCGAGGTATCCTCCTGATTTTTATCCACCACACTTGGGTGTGGGACCAGCTCATGGTGCCTGCGCCCCTCCTACCAGTCTGGATGTGGCTGCTGTTTTAATATCTGTAGTTGTAGGACTTCCATTCAGCTTGATCTCAGGCGGTTTTGAATGATGGTTGTTCTGTAGTTTAGTTGTAACTTTGATGTGGTTGTGGGAGGGTGTGATACTGCGTTTACCTATGCCGCCATCTTCCTCACTATTTTTTTCACTTAACTCACTAAATGAATTCTGCTGTTTTGATTTACTAAAATTATCCTTTAAATTCACTAATTACTTCGGATTTAAGCAATGTAATGGACATATTTTATTGTTTATCTTCTATTCTGAAACATTTGACACTTCATCATACCCTCCTTCTGAAAAGTTGTTTTCCCTTTAACTTCCTCCTCTTTTAGTACTTTTTTATGGTTTTCCTACTTCTCAGATACTACTTTTTTTTTTTTTCTTCTGGTGTTCTACTTTCTATATCTGTAATTTGAGTAGTGATATTGCCTTGAGTTTATTATTATATTTATTTTTCACTTTACCTATAATCCTTGGACAAACTTACTGAATCTATGTATAAGTTGATTTCAAAACTCATTCCTGAAGGTAAGAGAAGTAGAAAATAAAGGATAGAAAAGATATTGCCTGTGTATAAAAATCATTCTGTTTCTTTCTAGCTCTGTAACTTTGAACATGTTATGTAATAATCTGTTCCTTGGTTCGCCGCCTGTAAAATGGTGATAATTATATTGTCTGCATTTTTGGATTGTTTTAAGAGTACCTAGGAAACCTGCATTACATGCAATCTATTTAACAGTGCTTGGACTTAGGAAAGTTGGAAACAAAAGTATTAATAGAGAGCAACACAATGATCACATTATTTGATTAGATCAAAATTAGAGCACAACAACCCAAATTGTATGCTCTTTTCTAAATTTTTAATGTTGGTTAAAAGGTTTCCAGCATTTAAACTCTATTGTCCATCTGCCTCTCATCAACATTCTGATCTCCTCATTGCCTGTGATCACAGATCAGCTCCTCAATCTCAACCCCACCCCCCTCCTTCTTGTCAGTCAAATGATAGGACATATAGATTCAAGGTCAAATACAGAAATCCCAGGTGGGGCTATTGAAATGGTCTATTATCTTTTTTCCCATTTCTTTATCACACATTTCTCTCTCTTTCTGAAGTACACCCACATGTGCACATGCACACACACACACACACACACACACACACGCACACATATTTGAAGGCTCCTTTTGTGCCATTTTGCCATTTTCATGGACACCACAATTGTTACTATCCCTCTGGATTGATTACTTCTCTTCCTTGACAGTGATTTCCTTGCTATTATGAAAACATAGTCTTATTATTGTTCTACACTGAGAACAGAATAATATAAAATTTACTTAATCTGCAGCACAAAGTTTAGATTTTTTTTTGTAAAAAATGAAGTTCTTAACAGGATTGCTAAACAATAAAATTGATGAACAACAGTAGTCATTTCACTGTCTTTGAAACATAAGAGTCTTTCATCTCTCCAGCAGACATTGTTTTCTGTCTTGTTTTAAAAGAGAATGAGACTTCAAATGTGCTTTTCAACACAGGCTTCTTAGATATCTATTTGACATTTCTTAAAATCTTCCTTTAAAACTATAGATTGTGTCAAATCCTAATTGTCAAAATTGACCACAAATGCAAAGTTATCTTTTTTTCCCCGAAAAATATGTTTTAAAAACTTCTTAGGCAATATAATACCTACTTTATTAGTTTATAATTTGCATTATGTACTGTATTTTCTGTAATATAATTTATATCACATTTGATCTCAATGGTTTATTTCAGTGCACTATTTATATAGACATCACTATGAGTCTATTATAAGTAAAATACTTTGTAGAATAACCATGCAAAGATTTGAGAATTAATTATCATAATTATTTTTTCAGATATTAAGCCAAGCAATTATTTTCATTAACGGTGATGCCCCCATTATTCTGATGATTATAATATGGGAGATGTGGAAATATGTAATGCATCACTACTTCAATAAACCTTTACTATCGTTGTAGCGATGAAATTTGAAAAGTGAAAACTTTAAGATACGAAATGAAAATATATATCATGCTATACACGGAGTGCTCTAAAAGGAGAAATAAATAAATAGCAGAAAATATGTGAAGACGTTTGGAGGAATACAAGTCTGAGCTTGGTGGCATTATAAATAGACTTTTAAAATATGTAAATACACACACATATAAACTTCTGCAAAAAAAAAAAACCAATATAAAAAACAGATATCCAATAAAAAATGTGCTACAGTATTTTGGAGCCAATACATATGCATTTAAGTGCAAAATTCAGCACAATGCAACCTTTCGCCTTGGGCAAGCCATGCCATCTTCCCATCCCTCATGTTCAATACCTGTGAAACTATCAGCATGCAGACGTATTGTGAGGATTAAAACTAAGAAAATGTGTTTAAGCACTGTGGCCAATTAAAGCTATCATGTGTTTCTGTGTCCACAGAACCAATGACTTTGGCATAGAGAAAATACACAGTAAATATATTGTTATTAGATTTGATACAGCTAAAATTTTCTACCCTGCCATGAATATAAGCCTAATTTTTGCCTCACACAAGTTGTCAAGTATGGCAAGTAGAAACAAAAAATATGTAGAAAGTGTACTATCTATAAGATATTAGCTTCTAAACATTAATAAAATGAATGATTTGGTTTCAATTATATTGCTTTGAAAGTAACTTAGATCTTTTGTTTCAGGAGATAACTGCAAGGCCACCGACTACAGCAAGATGAAAAGCATGCTTTTAGATTTACAAAATCAAAAATATATTACACAAGAAAATGAAAACTCTAACGATGATGACCTATCTCAGAAGAAGTTGTTGGTGGATCAAATGTTTAAATATTTTGATGCCGACAGTAACGGACTTATAGATATTAATGAACTAACTCAGGTATGAATAATAATTAAATTAAGAAGCTTATCTAAATATTGCATATACAGTGTATCTGCATTTGTGTGAACTTATTCTATATTAATAAAATGTATATTTAATCTATATTACTTGATAGTGTAAGCATACAATATTTTTTAAAGTAAAATTTGACTACTCTATAAACAATGTTCACTTCAAATAGCTTTATGTTATATTTTACCATTTAAAAAAGAGATATTTAACAGGTTTCTATACCTTAAACACGTAAAGGAATTACCAGTTCTCTATTTTATAGAGTTTATAAGCTATATTGAGGTATATTCTGGAGCTTTTGTAATGTTTAATTTTATATCGGTCAATAAAACCTTGTTTATTCAGTGTTCAAGGGAACTAGTGACCAGCAATTGAGCACAACTATAACATAATATAAATAAGCTATTTAAGATGATATTGAATTATAGACATATTCCAGTACTTTTTCAACAGTCAAGGATCAATTATAAAATTAATTCATATTTAATATTAAGTCCACATTATCAAATTTCATTTCTTTAAAACTTGACACCTAAATGATACATGTAAAAAAAGCTTGTTATTAAAGAGAATATATTAATAAACAAAAAGTTTTTATGTGAGCCATTTGGAAAACTAGAAATATTTTTATGTGTGTGTCACAGAGACAGACAGACTATTTTGAAGGAAACTGTAATACCAGACTAAAGAATCTAAACCAGTTCTGGATAGTACTAGAAATGTAAAATAAGGGTCACACAATTTCTCCAGAAATATACAGATTTCAGAAAGTAATAGAGAGAAAAAGCCAATCTAGAGTGACTAGGAAAAGGATAATAGCCCTGAGGAATTTTGCTGACTTATCGCTATGGTGTATCTTGAGGCATATTTTGCTACTGTGTATAGCAGTTAATATAGTTTTCAAAAAGAAATCAATAGTCTATTTCCATAACATTATACCACTCATCTTTTATGGTTAATTTTATGGCTTATTTAAAAATCCTGACAGTATAGACTATTAGTCTTATCATGCAAGTATTTCTAGGCTTTGAAATAGTATAACTTAGTTTTGAGACTTCATATTAAAGTGACCTTGTGAGCAAATTGACTATAGTTCTTGTCATTCCAGTTAATTAAAATATATATCATTTTCATTATCTTTTTTAATTTAGCCCACATTTATTGGGTAGTTACTAAGTCCCAAGCAATAAGATTTAAGCCAATCAAACTCTGGAATTTTAGGTAAAATTGGAAAACTTTTTTAAAAAATTATTTTTATTAATTTGTTTTTGTTACAGATGTTTCTTCTTTTTTCCCTATTGACATCCTATTCACCATCCCCCACATGCCTTCCCCAGCTTTGTTGTCTATGTCCATTGGTTATGCATACATGCATATAAGTTCTGTGGTTTATCTCTTCCTCCCCGACCCCCCGCTTCTGGTGTTTGTCAGTCTATACCCTACCTCTATGTCTCTGGGTCAGTTTTGTTCATTAGTTTGCTTAGTTCATTATGTACCACAAATAAGTGAGATTATGTGATATTTGTCTTTCTCTGTTTGGCTTGTTTTGCTTAGCATAATACTCTCCAGGTCCTTCCATGCCATTTCAAAAGATAGGAGATCTTTCTTTCTTGCAGCTGCATAGTACTCCATTGTGTACATGTACCACAGCTATTTTATCCACTCATCTACCGAGGGACACTTGGGTTGTTTCCAGGTCTTAGCTGTTGTAAATAGTGCTGCTATGAACATAGGGGTACATATATTCTGTCTGATTGGTGTTTCAGGTTTCTTAGGGTATATTCCTAGAAGTGGGATCACTGGGTCAAATGGCAGTTCAATTTTTAACTTTTTGAGGTAACACCATAGTGTTTTCCATAGTGGCTGCACCATTCTGCATTTCCATTGGAAAACTTTTAATTAAGCTATCTGTATTGTCATATACCTTATGATTTAGTTTTCGGAAATGAAACACTTTGAAATTTTATATTTATAGTAATAACAAATAACAAGTTAATTACATGAAAATGAATATATAATTAAGGCATTCCACCTTGATCTATGTGTGTCTGACATATTTGAATATGTGTGTGTGTGTGTGTGTGAGTGTGTGTGTGAGTGTGTGTGTGTATTTTGGTTTACTTCTTATTTTTTAAATATTTTTAGTTTTTATTAAACATTTACACCACTGTAATCATTGGTTAGGTTCAAAACATGATCTGACCAAATCTAGTTATCATCGTAATACCCACATCTAAATCCGAAAAGAAACTTTCTAATCATTATAGAATTTTCATCTGCACGTGTTGGACATTTCCGCTACATTCAAGCTTGTGTTAGTTTCCCAGGGCGGCCATCACACAATGCCACAATGTGGGTGGCTCAAACAACCTCTCTGTCTCTCAAAGTCCAAGATCAAGGTGTAGGCAGTGCCATGCTCCCACTGCCGCCTCTGGGGCAGGATTTTTTCTTGCCTCTTTCCGCTTCTGTTAACACCAGGCATTCCTTGGCTTGTGCAGACATCACTCAGTCTCAGCTTCTATAGCCACATTGCCTTCTCTGTGTGCCTGTTTTTACATCATCTTGTCTCTTAAAAAGACAGCAGTCATATTGGATAAGGGTCTACTCTACTCCAGCATGGCCTCATCTTAAGTTATCTATTGCTCTTTAACAACCCTATTTCAAAAACGGTCACATTTCTGAGGTACTGGGGATTAGGATTTTAAAATATCTGTTGGAAGGACACAATTCAACTCATAATAAAGTTCATCTGATCTAAAGTTTAGTTTAGTTTAGTTTAACCTTTGATTGGAACTTCCTTTGTGTCTGAAAAGTGTCCTTCTAATTCATCTAAAAGTTGTGATGTGAGAACAGAAATTATCTGCAGAATTACATTGATACCTTGGCCATCTATGAGGTACATCAAGCAAGGATCTGGGAAGATGTTTACTGACTCTTTCTGAGCATATCCCACACCAATAAGTCACTCTTTCCTTCAGCAGTATATAGTGGAAATGTTAGTATCCCATCCATCAGCAATCAATTATGAAAAGAGCAGGTTATAATGGGCACACTGAAGAAGACATAATAAATTTCTAGCTACTTATGACACAATTATTATTTTTGACTTGTGTATTTTTAAGTTATAAGTGCCTTTTAAAAAAAACCTGTATGTCATGTTATGACCAATAATACATATAAACTTTACTCATAAATTTGGAAACATATATTATGAATTAATATAAAATTTAAAAATCATTTAACTTTGAGTTAAGAGGGAAAGGACCTTAATGGTATCTGTTAATAATTTACAAACTATTATTAGCAAAAAATGTAACATGTAACCTAAGATACTGCCAGTGACAAGTAAAAATTAAAGAACATAATTTGGCTTTGAGGTTTTATAAATGCCACAGGAAGCTGGCTGCACATATTCTATTCTTACTCCACATAATGAATATATTTCCTAGAGTTGCTCTTGTAGATTTCCAAGTAAATTAGAACCTAGAGGCCTGTCTAATTGAAAGAAAAAAATACATAATAAAAAGCAGTAGATATGGGGGTAGGATCTCTAGTATCACAGTTAATAACTTGTTATAGCAAGAAAATATTTGCTAAAATAAATGAGATATTTATAGAAATAGATCCAATCCTTCCACCTCTTCACCACTTTAGCTTAATTTGTACATTGTCTTCCAGTGTGATGCTGATTATTGTATGTTGGAAATATCAAACAATAAAATGAAAATTTATCACAAAAAGAAACTTTGAACTTTCAAAAGACTCATATTTTATAAAGTTGAGAAAATTAATGTTAGAACACTGGTAGATTTTTTATTGACAGCTGAGGATCTGGAAGAGTTTAAACAGGTAATAACTGAAGAGAAATCAACAAAGATTGAGGTAGAATATGCATTTCAAAAGATCAAGAGAATGTTCAAATAGCAAAGGAGTGAGTGGCCTTAAATAGATGCAGTCTTAGCATATTTTTCAAAAATGAAGATTTTTGTAATCATGGCAAAGTGGTTAAGAACTTTGATTATAAAGCTTGGGTTCAAATCATATCTCTACTACTTACCTTGGTAACTTTTGGCAAGTTACTTAAACTCTTAGTTTCCTTTTTTGATATATCAGCAATGATAACAGCACCTGGTGCATAAATTTGATGTGCTATTTATATTATTAGAATATGTAAGATTCTTAGACACATGACTAGCACATAGAAAGCATGATGTAATTACTAGCCACAATTATATTTTAAAAACTAATATTTGTGAGGATGCTGTGATGATAATGGAAATAAAGAGGGTGCATATACTTGGATTAGTGAATAAGCAATTGATCAATATTTTCAAGCTAAGCCTTTGCATTTTTAAAATTTTTGCAATTAGATGGTAGGTGAGAACAAAGCAAATATCCTTAGTTAGCAGTTATTTATATATAATATCTGAAAAATATATATATTTTTTTATATATATTATATATATATATAATATCTGAAAATTTATATATACATTATTAAACATTCAAGTAGTTTTAATACCATGTTTTGCAATGAAAAAGTTGTCTTGCAAAAGAAGAGAAATAGTTTTGGTTATTCCAAGGTATTGGAAAAGAATGATAAAATGTTGCTATTTATTTTTCTCATGTCATTTGGAGTACTCTTCTACTTATAAAGCCTGCATGATTGTTAAATCCTGAATTCTATCTTAGAGACAGTATATAATGTTCTGCAACCTGTGATGTTAGACTTTTTTTCCAGAATATAGAGTGTTCATGATTTTAGAGATATGTTACATTTAAGTAAGCATAGAAAAGAATTATATATATATATACATACATATATGTGTGTATATATATTTAAGATGATATATATTATACTAAAATATCTCCATATATCAAAATGTCAAATACCTAGTTTAACGTGTTTTTTTCTTGCCCACAAAATTAAGTTATAAGAAATAAAAAATATTATAGTAACTAATTTATAGTAACAGTAGTAGTAG